AATCATTTACGTTACTAGTCCAAACAAGCAACGAATGAAATAAGACCTAATACCATAAGTTATTTAGCTAAATTAATAAAATAAAGTAAGGTATAATCTGTGATTCATTTTGCTATTATAACTAGGTAAAAGTTATAAGCATATGCGTAAACTATTCTACCAAACACCACACACAAATTAAAAAAATAAGTGGATTAGTTTTAGAAAAAGCAGTAATTAAGATTTGCGGAGGTTATTAATACATATGAAAGACTTATGACTTATCCCTTTGAATAAGGATGAGATTTTTTAGGGCTGTTAAGTGATTGAAGAAAGACAGCATGCATCGATGAGCGATCTAGGACTGGTGAACTTCCTTCTGCAGACAAATCATCAGAATCACGATCATCAATAAAGCTTGAGTCATAGTTATCGCCTAGTGAAACTTTGCTACCCTCGTCAGAATCAGATCCGGTGGCATCTGCCTGGGAGAAAATTAGATCCAAAAATCGAAGACGTTTACGAGTGCCAAAATTGACCGCATTTCCGGAGACCTCATGATTCGCATTCATCAAATCTGGCGTCAGAAGCAGGCGTTTTTTATGTTGGCACCGTTTATCTGCTAGAGGTGAAATAGTGTTAGTGGGAGTCGAATTATCCTGGGAAGGCAATGCTGAAGAAAGTACTGGCGAATTAACTTCATGTGGATCTACCACTAGTTTCAAGGTACCTTTGGATGTTTTCTTTGATGAAATCTCGTTATTCTCAGCAAAAATATTTGATATGTTAGCAAAAGAGCCCTCTGAAGAAATAGGTTGTCTCTCAATATCCGCATCTAGATCACAATTTTTTAATTCAGAAAGTACAGAACTATGAGGATTATCATCAAAACAAAAGTCAAGTTTAAGCTTAGCATCGATGTCTGCGGACCGGTTAAAATTAGAAATAAGGCATTTAGAAAACCCTTCATGGATGGTAATTTTTTTTGAGGGTGAAGGAAGATTCAAATCATCGGTCAACAAATGCATACTCGATTGATCCAAAAGTGATAGAGCCTGAGTGAAGCTTAACTGCATTGTGGAAGAAAGATTACCTGTGGGACGAATAGGGCTAGTATCTTTCCAACCTCTAGTTGGGGTGCTGTTTACAGGTCCTTCAAAGCGTAGCGGAATGGGAAAGCCAAATGAAGAAGTAAGTGACTTCAAGACAGAAGGACAATGAGTGTTCGGGGATGATTCGCTTAATGCAACCTTTGAATCGAAAGCATAATCAAGAGTTTGGGGATTAAATCTTGAAGAATGATTGAAATTGTATGAATCAAGATTAGTAGTGGTTAAAGAGTCAGTGGAGGTCAAGAGAGAAGTTAAAAGGGAATCATAGGCCTGTTCACTACGAGATATATCCAGGTTAATTTTCGCGCTTGAATCAACCAGATATAATTGTAGTGCTTTTAAATTGGCTGAGATACCGGGCACTGAAGGAATTTTCGGTATAAATATTAGTTCAGTTGAAACAATACCAGTGAAGACAGCAGGGAGTATTACATCAGTAGGAAAATTCCTTGCTTCATAAAGTGGACTCATATGAGAAATTATTGGTTTCAAAGGGGGTTCGCTTCGTTGAGTCGATGATTGTGATAATGCAGAATACTCTTCAAGGAGCACAGAAAAAGGAGTTTCTGTATCAACGTTTCGGTACCCCATGGCATGGAAGCTAAGCTGCGTAGCTCCTTTTCGATGCAATTCAGAGAGGCGCAAACAAGATACAAAATGGATGGAAGAAAGGGATGGCTTGGAAGAAAGCCTCTCACGACAAGCCGAGAAACAGCGGCTTTTGATCACATTTGGGTAATTATAAATAAATGATGAAGTTGAATTATGCTTGTTGGTAAGCACCAATTCACTATACTCAAGAGGATACATGTGAAGCTTCAGCCAATTAAAACCAATGGCTTCGATATGCGATTGCACAAGATCGCAGAATTTATCCTGCTTAACAAATGCAGCAGATAACTTAGGTTTCCTAATACGTTCAGAGAGTAGCTTTTGGTTAGTGCATTCACCGTCTAAATCTTTTAAGTCACTATCTTGAAGAAGGATCGGATTAATATTAAAGCTAACCATTTCAACCTTTGGTGTGAATTCAATTGGCACCATACGAGGATTTTGAGGATAGAAAGCTAAGTTGCTAGCAGAGGTATCCAGTATACCAGAGGAAATACGAGCTACGCTTATAGCATGATTTGCTTCCTCTTTGCCCTCAGTTAATAAGATAACAATCCTGCCAACACGTTGCCGGCCAGTTCTTCCCAATCGCTGGACGAGTCGGATCGGAGATTTATGGGCATCGAAGCAGACAATAAGGTCAACCTGACCTACGTCAATTCCCTCTTCACCAATACATGTAGACACCAAAGTGTTAAATATGCCAGTCCTAAATGCAGATAGCACTCGCATCTGGTCCCTTTGTGATTTTCCCATACGAGACGCCCCAAAAATGTTACCAGTTAGGGTGGGCGATGGTGGAGCGTTGCAAGTAGATGAAGCGAATTTGTCTGGGCAATCTGCTTGCAAATTTTCGTTCGTAGCATCTGCTATTATTTCAGCACGCACGTCATGGAAACCAGGAGAGGCAAGAAACGAGGAAGGTGCGGATTGACCAATAAAGCTAGCAGGCCGAATCAAGGGACGGAGCTGCTTGAGCATATGCATAATCTCGTCAACAGAGTCTCTGTACTGAGTAAATACGATTGCTCTTGTGTCCATAATGTTGGGGCAATATATTCCGGTTTGTCGAGTGCCAGTAAAGTGTTCAATGAGGAGAGACTTCAGCGTATCCAATTTGGGATGACCAGGTATAAAAGAAGTCTGAGAATTCATAAGCTGGGCCCCAGTGTCACTGATTGCCTTTAATTTATAAACCTCATCGATGGAAGATGAAAAGTGATCAGATAGAAAAGTCCAGATCTTGGTGAATTGAGGAAGCTTGCGAAGTTCAAGCATATGATTAGAGCCATGGCGCGTGCCTGACAAATTTTCGTACAGAAAATGATACAAAGGACGCAAACCGTGTTGTATCAGTAAGTCCAAGGCATGAAGCAATGAAATGGCGAGGGCAAAATCTCGTTGAATAATGGAAAAATCTGATGAAGGAAATTGTTTTGTTGAGTTCATTTGGAGCCAACTTTGTCTAGCCTTGATCAGAGAAAACTTCGACAGGTGTTCAGGTTTCGAGGCATAACCGCTATTCCGCCAAATAGCGCCGCGTTGATTAAGTCTTTTCAAAGGCATGTTTATAAGTTCAGAAAGTTGGTCACGGACTTTCAACAAATTCGGTCCAAGGGGAACAATTATGGTTTCCAGATTTCGTTTCTGCACGTATTTTTGTATATCACTACTAGACTCATTACGGATTTCCAGATGTGATATAAGAAGATTAGCAATGATGATCTGCAATCCTTGAAGATCTGTGGCCGGCGAAGCAGATAATGCCAAAACTCGGAATTTGCGATGTGAATGAGGTTGATTAGTCAAAACGCGAATCACCTGAAAAATAAACAAACCTTAAAAGCTAAAATTACGCCAAGTATTTATTGATTTATAAAGAACTTCGTATCCTTTCGTCTAAGTGACTGCAAACATGGG